ACTGTGGGTCTGGGTCTGTTCTGGGTGTTTTGGAGACTGGGTCACACATGGTCTAGGGACCAGAGTAGAACATGATCAGTATGGGGACTACAAACCAGTGCCTGAGTTTCTCCAACTGTATATGGGGTCAAGTGTCACCACTGGCAGGCAGCTTTCTGTGGGGTGGAGGAGCTAAGGGTGGATTTGTGCCATGTATGACCAGCAGCAGGAATCTCTTGTCCACAGCTATGTCTGATGAGCCCCTCCAGCCCCGGGGGCAGATCAGGCACATCTGTGTCCCCTTCCTAAGCTCAGTGCCATCTCAGTCTTGCAGTTTCAGGTCAGTGCTGGACACTTCCATGTTCTCTGGAGCATCCCAAGGAGGGAGCAGCCTGGGATCTGTGTGAGAATCCTCAGATTGGAATAGGTTTGGGCTGGGGGCTCAGCTCAGCAATCCCACATTTGCCTGGGCCACCATGAGTGCATCTGAGGCCTGGCATGCAACTCTTTGGCCAAAGGTACTACAAGAGGTGCCAGTCTCATGCACAGAGATGTGCCCAGGAAGACAGGAGAGACTGATATGACCCTATCCTTACCAGCACCCATCCCTGGGGTGCCTTGTTACTGTCCTACGTGTGCTACTAAAGAGTATGGTCACCTGCCCTACCATAGCCTGCCAAGGACCTTTTACTGCCCCTGCTCCAGAGGAGTCATGTGCCCACCACAGGGGCTCAGCTAACCAACTAGCCAATAACCAACCAGCTAACCAACTAACTAATCACCTTCCTTCTTTCCTCCCTCTCTCTCTCAGGACATGCTGTGGCCATCCTGAGGTGCCCCAGTTCTGTCCTTTCTAGTTATCCTCTCCCCTCAAGTCTCCCAGCTCAGCATTGGGTCCTGTACACGCACACATACTGTTGAATTCTAAGTAATTTTAGGTCTGGCAGTTGTGGCCAGGGACTGAATATCCAAGGGTGGATCCAAGTGATGGCAAAAATACTACCTGGCAGGGTTCAATGTCTCAACTGGTCATCACAAGCATAGACAGGACCAATCCATCTCTCTGGACTTCGGAGTGTTCCTGGCGACGCTGTGCAGCTGCTGGGTAACAATACTGGAATTATCCTCTATTCAGGGCCTGATGGAGGGGGGGGCGTGGCCACCCCTTTAATGCCTTAGTTTTTATGTATCACTCTGCATTTACACATCGATAATTTTTTTCTTACAGCATAAAGAAAAAAAATTAAACAGCACAAGGCACAGCCCTCGCAAAAGGTTAGATACATCAGAGCTTTTTGTTGAAAATAAGAGGAAACAATTACCTCCACTTCTGGCTCAAATGTCATCCTAGCCAACTGGCAGAGCCACCCTGTAATTCCGCCCCCTGTCTGGGAAGCTCTCAAAATGTCATTTCATCTGAATGTTGAAGCTGGGATTGCCTCTCCAAGTTTAGCGCCAAAGGCTCCTTATGTTAAGATGACTAAATCATCAAATATTTTTTAAACAAATTTTTTAATGAAGAAGTAAAACAAGGGATAGTTAACACAAGGGCTGATTAATCAGCTACTCCCTGTTCCCCAAATTTCATAGGCATTTCCCCAGAGAGTCTCCCAATGACCTGATGTCCTGTGTTGGAGTGAAGTGGCTCACCCAAGGTCACTCAGTTTGGCTGAAGTCACACACAAGAAGTCCTCACAGGTTTCAGATCTGGGCTTTTGCACCTTCCAGCTGCCTGACCAGAAGAGAAGGCCAGCAAATGTAAAAGTAGTGTCAAAGTTTAGAAAACACCGACTATCTGAATCAAATGTAATTTCAGGTTAATGCAACCTCAAAAACTTTTCGCAAAAACTGTTTCCAAAAAGCAAAAATGACACTCAGTGTCCCTTCTTTCTTGGTTTCTTGACCACATTTTTCCTTAGAGAGATTTAGGCCAGCTAAGTAGAAATTAAAATTTCCATACGTAAACAGACATGGAGACAGCTGGCTTTCATTGTGCAGGAGCTCGGGATTGAGAATCTTGGATGTGTAATGAGAAGCTTGTATTCTCTTATTTTAAACAGATTGGCATTTCTCCCGATTACGAATACTGTAAGTGCTGTTGGTATAAATTTGTATGTTATTAAGAAACATCGAGAAGAAAATGAAAATTCCAGGAAGTTCACACCACCCAAAGGCAGCCAGTCCATGCAGCCTCTGGGGAGCTGTTGTTTTCCTAGGTCTAGTCTATCATTAGGTGGAATTTCGGTAGGATTTGGCTTGGGGCCTGAAGGATGACAAAGGTGCCCCCTGTCCAAGCCTGTTGGAAATAACTCCTGTGGTCTCCACCCCATGCCTGTCCTGCTGGGCTGATATTTCTCTTGTCTTGACAAAAAGAAGAGACTAACTTGAACATGTGGGCCAGTCTTTGGAATCTGAAGGGTTCCAGGAAGGATGTGGTACCTGTGGCCCTAAGTCCCCCAAAATAGGTGGGAGAATGCAGAAGCAGCTGGACTCTGACCACCATGCCTCTGTGGCTGGAGTGACTAGCTGTGACCCTAACGAAGGCCATCTTGCTCAGGAAGAGTGGCCTTTTTCTATGGGAACTGCCTTCGGAGCCTGCTGTCTGTTCCTCTGTATCTAATAGCTGCTCAGCACAGGGTTGGTGACTGACTAAGGGAAGGGATTTGACTTCCCTTAACCTCAGTTGCAGATTCTTCCCTAGGGAGTGGACTCAGCTCCCAGGGTCTCTCTCGTGGAAAGTGGGTAGTTTTCCTTTGTTAATGGGTGTTTTCCCACCTGTTCCCTCCAGCCTGGCCTCTGTGGTTCCACGCAGGTGAAACTGCCTTTATAGCTCCTTGACTGTCCCAGATGAGCCTGGGCTAGGAGCCTGGCAGCTGTCATATCATTGCTGGCTTTCCAGCAATGATGGTGGGGCTGGACAAAGCAGAAGCCTCACTAGAGCTGCCCCATCCTCCCTTCAGTGAGCTACTTGAAGGAGGATGAACACACCCCTGAGGGCCATTCATGGAGTCATGCAGGGTCCCTGAAATTAGACAGCACAGTGGGAGGGGCTACACAAGAGCACAGCTAGCAGGGTATGGCAATCACTGGGCCACCGCTGGGGTCCTTTTTAGATGATGTCACCTTCAGATGGAGGCACTACTTCCTCCCACTCACCCCCATTCAGGGACAAACGGACCCTTGGCATCAATTCTATTTTCAAGCCACACACATTCCTTCCTCTCTCTTTTTGTCCCTCACCTGCTATGAATCCTGGCTTTTTGGATCCTCACACCTGGCCTGCCACTGCATTGTCAGTGCTCATCTTGACTTTCTCAGGCCAGTTCTGGACCCTTTGGCTGCCTGAGCCTGGCACCCAGTCCTGGTGGTATCCACCAGCCTCGGGGCTCAGGGATGTCAGCAGAGGGGACAGCTATAGTGTATAGTGGTGGCAGGTGCTGTCCTTAGCCTGGGTTGGAAACATCTGAATAGTCCAGGGCTGTCTCCTCAGGGGACCTGGCCTCTCAGGGAGCAGAAGCTAAGATGTCAGGGCCGGGCACTTGTAGCACAGTGACGGCAATTCCGACAATGGTTGGGATCCTTTGAGTACCTGTCATAGGCCAGACCCTCATTCCTCACAACCCTGACACATGTGTCCCGTGTTCTCTCCATTTTATGGAGAAAGAATTGAGACTCCGAGATGCTCTGCTATGTACTTGAAGTCACCAACTGTGAGCAGGGTTTGAGCCCTTTGAGATCCTGGCTACCTCATCCCTGACACTGCAAGGTGCAGTAGCTCTGCGTCCTCAGATGGGTGAGGGTGGAACCTGGGAATGAGAGCTTTAGCTTCCTAGAGGGGGACAAACCAGTGTGTCATGAGCTGGATCCCTAAGTGGGCACACAATGGCCCACACTGTATATTTGTCAACACATGCTCCATCATTGTGTCATTCTGCCAGTGTTCCCGGGCTAAAAGGCACAATACCTGGGAGGTGAAAACGGTGTCTTCTTGCAGCCTTGCATCCGCTCACCCCTCCCCACACACAAAAAAACCTGGTAAATCTGGTTGTTGAGTGTGAGAGCAAGGCCCCATTTCCAGCTGGAGTGCAGTCATTTGGGACCACTCAGAGCAATCCTCTGCTTTACATTCCTTCAGGGAAGTCACCAACCATCCCATTAACAGGTCTCTTGGTTGCCTTCTGAGCTGTAGCTTGAGTTTATTTGTCACACACTTCATGACATTTGCCCAGTGCCAGGCCCTGCCACAGGTGCTTCAAGGATGGTTGCTCACCAGACTCCCTTATGCCTCTGCATCTTGCTCCCTTCTGACAACAAGGACACCAAAACCCTGAGTAATTGCTTGAGAATAAGAATTTAGAATGGGTTACGAAGGCATTACCAAAATGGAGTCAGATGTGGCAATCTAAGCTTCTTAGGACCCCTCTAGGTTGGAATTTATTCCCTAAAACTAAGATGTAGCTTTCCCCGTGGATCTGGTTGGGGGAGGGAGGTCCTGCACCCTGATGGAGGACTCCTCATAGGCCAGATCACCTGGGGTCTCTGTTGAGGTCCCCTGGGGACACCTTGAAATAATCCGTTTGTGATGGGTCCTTTATTTTTTTAATCTATCTGTGGCCATTTCACTGTTTCCACCCGTGAAGTTCTGAGGAAGACCGATAGGGCTTCAGGCCTACCGACCCTGCCGACTCCTTCTCCCTGAAGTCCTCTCCTGTCCCAGGTCTATTCAGAGGACGTCATCGAGGCAGAGATGGAATGGTGGTTGTGATAAGTCCTCACCCAGAGTGCTCAGGGGCCTCACCCAGCAGCCTGTTAAGGTTTAACCCAGCCAGGGCTTCTGTGGCTGAGGCTCAGGATTGCATTTTTGAGGTTACCTCCGCCACCCTGCAAAGGAGGCCCCTCAGAAGCAGCAGGCCAAGCTCCTCTCACCCTGTGTAATGATCCGGAAATGCAAATACGCCATGATTATGTGACCCATATTGCGACAATTAGAAGAAGGAAGTTGTTTTGCTGCTGCACGAAGCTCAGCCCAGGAGGAGACACACACTTGCTTGGGGGCAACGGCCGGTGAGTGGGGCCTGGCTCCTGGGAGCCTCACTGAGCTCCAAGATTCTATCTGGTATTGTGAGAGTGACTCTGGGGTGGTGGTGGCACTTGGAACAAAGCAGGAGCCCTTTGAAGGAGACGGGTGTTTTCAAGGCAGGAAATGCTCCGTGAGGTGAGCAGGGTCTTGTTTTGCCCTGTTGTCTTGCTGTGGGGCTCCTCTGGCTTAACTGGTAAAAAGTCAGACATTATGGGCATTGAATAGCAAGTGGGAGGAAACCTTGGTAAACTTCAGAGTGCGGCCAGTGCTTGCTGGGGTGTGTGTGTGTGTAGGGGTGCTGCTCAGACTCACACGATGGATGGATAGGATAGACAGTGGGTGACTCCTGTGACCCCAGGGAAGCCCAGGAGGGGCATGGGTCCAAGGCTGACCCCATGCAGGGGTGACCCCACAAAAGGCACCTCAGGCAATGGGGTACAGCCCAGTGTAGGGCAGGGATGAAGCCACCTTAGAAGGCTGGTAGCCTGAGGGCAGGCAGAGTCACAGCAGCAGTGGTGGTACAACCTGATGTCACTTTAATTGTGTACATTGTGCAAGAGGGATGGCGATGAGGCCTGAGAGGCCAGGCATGCTCCAGGAGTTGGGCTCTGTGACCTGTGTGATTTGTTATGTGGACAACCAGCCCATTTCCATTTGTCCTGGGTTTGATCAGTGCAGTGGGGAATGAGTAGCTATAAGGAGAAAGAAAGGAGGGCCTGGGCTTCCTGAGACCCTGCTGTAGGAAAGAAGCCAGGTGTGGCAGGAGGCAGGGGGAGATGTAGAGCCCAGCGCTGTGACTCTGAGTACCTCCTCAGACTGTCTTCATTTCCCTGTCTACAAAGCGGGATCGGAGTTGTACCAGAGTCACTGAGGTTCAACACCAGCACAGCTCATCAGCTATTCAGATTTGTCCTCCCCAATGCCCAGAATATTCTTTGCCAGCCATTCTTTACAAGAAAGGAAACTGAGGCACAGAGCATTCTGCCAGCTTGCCCTGAGCTTCCCAGCCTGTGAGTCAACTGGCTGGGTCCGCATACAAATTTCTGAGCGGACAACTTGCACAGTGGCTGGGGGTGGGGTGGGGCCAGCTCTGGTGAACAGGGAGGAAGTGGTTTGTCTCAGCTGGGCTTTTGCAGGCGGTTAGAGGCTCGAGTTCCGCTCCTGGGGTGGGAGGCTGACCCCTGGGTACCAGGGACCTGGGAACCACACTGGAGTATGAGCTCTATACACCAAGGCCCCGATTGTGTTCTGTGAGGTTAAAGCTGAGATGACCTTGTCCTGGGAGGTCTCCCTGATGTGCGATGCCTTAAGGTTATGCCTGGCTCTGCTGCTCTGGGCTCCTGAGGGTAGCCCATGGGCTACAAGAGTGACTTAGATCTTGGATACATGTGCTGGGAGTTCCCACTGCACCCTCCCTACCTGCCCCAGGTGGGTCCATCGTGATTCCCCATTTACGGATGGGAAAACTGAGGCTCCGTGGTTAAAAGGCATGGGTAAAGGGTCAGCTGAAATATTGGATAGATGTAAAACTCAGATGACTGGATTTGTGGAATGTTTCGGAGGTTCAGAGACAAGCGTGTGCTGAAAACAATGAACAAAGGCAGAAGAAAGCACAAACCGGTCACTGCAGATGGCCTGTCCCTGCCTGTCCCTGGACAGGGTGACTGGCAGCAGGCAGGAACCAAGCCAGCCCAGGAAGGAAACAAGAGACGAGGGGGCCTTCATTCACCACCGACATTGAGCGCTAGATCCTCGAGGCTGCAGATATTTATGGGTCCTGGTAGAGGACAAGGGGCCAGTGTCTGGTAGAGGAGACAGGGTAAGTGCCTGCAATGGGGGGAGGGGGGCCTGTGTAAGCAGTGAGGAGTGGGGAGGGGGTAACAACATGATGGTCTAGGGACAAGCTGACTGTCACCTAGGGCATGTTCTGTGCCCATGCCACCTCCAGCCCTGCAGGTGAGGTAGATGCTTGGCCTCTCTGCCTCCTGCTCTTGCCGTTGGTATCCTGACTCAGGTGCTAGGACAGCCTCCTCCATGACCATCAGCAGGTCGCCCATGTGTGGCTTCTGGGTTCCACATATCGGCTTCCTTTCCACAACCCTTGAAACACCTAAACGGGACTCACCTTGCTGGCTGGGCCTCTGACTGCCAGCTGCAATGGGGTCCATCTTGGCCTATCATTCTCGGTCCTCTTTCCCTGACACTCTGTGCTCCCCGCCTGTGCAGCTGCAACCCACATGGCCTAATCTGCTTATTCTCTGTGCCTTCCTGCCCTTCCTGCTGACTTCCATGCTGTTCCCTCTGTCTGAGCTCCACTGGACACACAGGTCCTGTGAGGTGGGTGTCTTGATCACTCAGGTCCTCAGAGGTGGGGTGGCCTGGTCACTAAGGTCCCGTGAAGTGGGGTGGGCTAGTCACTCAGGTCCTGAGAAGCTTAGTGCTTGAGGCTTGGTGAGGTGAACTTGCCATCTGGACCTCCTGTCTGGTCACCATCAGGTTGACGTGATGAAAGACGATGTGATGCGCTCTACCCTGTGAGGACTGCCTTGAGGTGGGATCAACCTTCCATGATCTCAGTTCAGGTTTTATATTTTTAAAGTTTGGACTCAGTCAAAGCACTCTTTTTTTTTTTTTTTTTCCGGTACTGGAGGTTTAAACTCAGGGCCTCATGCTTGCTAGGCAGACTCTATCACTTGAGCTATGCCCCCAGCTCTTTTTTGCTTTAGTTATTATTTAGTTAGTTTTTTGGCAGCACTGGTGTTTGAACTCAGAGCCTTTGACTTGCTAGGCAGGCACTCTTATTGCTTCAGCCATTCCACCAGCCCTTTTTTTTGTGATGGATGTGTTCCTTCCCCCCACCCCAGATAGTGTCTCACAAACTGTTTGCCTGGGGCTGCCTTTGAACTGCAATCCTCCTGATCTCTGCCTCCTGAATAGGTAGGATTACAGGTGTGAGTCACTGGCGCCAGTTTTTCGCTTTAGTTATTTTTTAGGGTCTCTTGTTTTTGCCTGGGGCTGGCCCTGGACCACAGTCCTCTTACCTATGCCTCCACACAGCTAGGTGACAGACATGCACCACCACACCTGGCTCAAAGCACATTTTTTTAAAAAAATTGTTGTACTTGGGGTACTCTGTGACAATTATGAAAAGTTTTTACAATATATCATAGTTGAATTCACCCCTTCCATCATTCTCCTTTATTCTCCCCCCATTCCTGCAATAGTTTCAGTAGGTCTCATTTTTCCATTTTCATACATGAGTACGTAATATTCCCACTTCATTCACCCTCCTACACCCTTTCCTTATGTCCTCCCCCCTCCCACTGGTACCAACCTCCCAGAAAGGACCTGTTTTGCCTTCCTGGTCTCCATTTTTTAAAAAAGAGATTTTTTTGCTTGTTTAAAATAGCTGTACAGGGAGTTTCCTTGTGACATTTCCATGTATATATGCATTATAACCTGAATTGGTTCTTCCTCTCTATTTTTCTCCTTTCTATCTTAGTCCCCTTCTTATGATGATTTCAACAGGTTTAAAAATTCTGTATTCATTCTTGTATAGAAAGTGCACCAAACATGTTCACCTTCTAACTTCCTTCTTTTATCCTTCCTCTCCTGTTAGTGACCTCCCCTTAGTGTGGCCTGTTCTTAATATTTCTTTTGTTCATTGGCCTATAGTCCACATATGAGAGAGGATATGTGGCCTTTGAGCTGTTGATGATGCTCTCTAGTTCTCCAGTGCCATCCATCTGCCTGTGAATGACAGAATTTCATTCTTCTTTGTGGCTGAATAAAATTCTGTTGTCTATAAATACCATATTTTCTTAATCCATTTGTCAGCAGTGGGGCATCTTGACTGTTTTCGTAGCTAAAGCACATTTTTGCTTGTTTATGTGAAAGTACACGTTAGAAGTGATATAGAAATTTCTTGAAATACTGACTCAAACTTGTTCATCTATTTATTCACCCAAAACACCTACTGAGTCCTGTGTGTCTGGCTAAGGGTCACGTGAAGAAGATGAGTTTCCTCTTGTGTAAAGTACATCTTAATGGGGAGAGGATGGAAAGGGCAGAGCAGTGGGGAAGGAGAAGCTCCTCCATCCTCATCCCCCAGGTGAGAAGAGGATGGAGGGATAGAGGAAATAGGAGGGCAGGAAGGAGGGACATGTAGGGTGGGTGGGGTGTCTTCTCTAGGGAAGGCCTGTCTGGGAGCAGAGAGCTAGATGAGGCAGGGAGTGAGCAGTGCAGCTCTCTGAAGAGGGAAAGGGCTTGCAAAGGCCTGGAGGTGGCTCCTAGAAGGAAGTCAAGCAGAGGGAGAGGTCAGAGTGGACAGTGATGTGGAGAATCTCAGTCAGATCAGAGGCTCTCAGGAGGTTCTCACTTATTTGTCTTGTTTGGTTACTTTTTTTTTTTTCATTTTACAAAGGAAACTGTCAAGCATAACCAAAAGTAGAGAGAATTCTGTAATGAACATAGGGTGCTCATGGGGAAGGCAGCCTGAAATCCGAAAAGAATGGAATTCAGGATCCCTCGTACCCTAGGAAGGGGCGGGAAGATCTTAGGTGCTGGGTATAAAATTGTTTTCTCCCAATACTTCATTATGACTTTCAAGTGCCCAGCCATGTTCAAATAATTTTGTAATGAGCACTTGTGTACCCACTTCTGAAACTGTACCTGTTGTCACATGTCTATGCAGGGAGGAAGTCTTATTTATTTGTGTATTTATTCATTCATTCATTCATTTTTTACTTATTTATTGGCAGAACTGGGAGTGGATACCTTGAGTCACTCCACCAGCCTTTTTTTGTGATGGGTTTTTTTTCAAGATAGGGTCTCATGACCTATTTGCTTGGGCTGGCTTTGGCAGTACTGGGGTTTGAACTCAGGGCCTCATGCTTGCTAGGCAGGTGCTCTACCACTTGAGCCATGCTGCCAGGGCTTTTTTGCTTTGGTTATTTTTGATATGATAGGGTCTTGCTTTATATTCCAGGCTAGCCTGAACTGCCACCCTGCTATTTATGCTTCCGAGTATAGCTAGGATAACAAACACACACCACCACACCCATTCGTTGGGTGAGATGAATTTTTTTGCCCTGGCTAGCCTGGAACCATGATCCTCCCAATCCCTGTCTCCCTAGTAGCTAGGATTGCAGGCTTGAGCACCATGCCCAGTGAGTCTATTTTATTTTAAAGGTTGAATTTTATTTTTTCCCCGTGGATTTTGTGAATGACAACGAATAGTGATGTTTCATTCGTGGCTGGAACGTTTGTGTTTTTGTGGCTTCTGGATGAAATACATGAATACAGAAAAGAAGTATAAAATGTAAATAATGTAGAAAAATTGAAGACTGAAAATAAAAGCTAGGAAGTAAAGAAAATATGCAGTAAACGTGTAAGTAAACCCTTTAAAATGGTTCCAGTGTTTGGTTCCAGACAGGGCAATCCTGTGTGAGAGATGACTCTGTCCATGACCTCTGACCCTCATGCATTCCTAGGCTTGCTACCTGTGAGTTTCTGCTAATCCAACGTGGGCAAAAATCATTATTACTCTGCTTATCACTTAATTTTATTTGTCATGTCACAGCTGAGTCTCTGCTTGTGACTGTGGCCTGAAGGAGCTTTGTGTAGCAGTAACCTGTAATGAATGTGGTATCCTCCTGTGTTGTCTACTTTTTGTTGTTGTTGTTGTTGTTGTTGTTGTTGTTTGGTGGGACTGGGGTTTGAACTCAGAGCTTCAAGATTGCAAAATAGGCACCCTACTGCTTGAACCACACCTCCAGCCCCATTTTGCTCTGGTTCTTTTGGAGATGGAGTCTTATGAACTACTTGCCTGGTCTGGCCTCAAACCATGATCCTCCTGATCTCAGCCTCCCAAGTAGCCAGGATTACAGGTGTGAGCCATTGGTGCCCCACACTGTGTCTGCCTGTATGGTCTCTGAAAATGTATGAAGTGGCCATTCTGGGAGTGTAATTGTTGTGTGTTGCTTTTGACTTGGGAATCTTTACAGGCCTATCTTTATGTCTCTTTTATGGACAAGGAGACAGAGGCTGGGGGAAGCTGAGTTTGTCCCTGGTTATCCAGCCAGTAAAGGGCCAACAATTGCTATATTGCCTTCAAGATGGACACACAGAGGTCTACCGCGCCATGTTCAGTCTGTGGAGGGATGGGCTGTTAGGTCCCAGAGATCCCAGGGGATGGCCCTGGGGTCAGAGCAGGGGACAGGCGCAGGCAGGCCCTCCTGTGAAGCTGAGTTTGCCTGGAGCCTCTGTTTATCTTGACTGACCAACCTGGGCAGTCAGAGGCTCTATTCCTCCTCCTTTCCTTCCTCCAGGTTTGTGGTCTGGTGGTGTCAGGAATGAAAAATTGTTCCTACAGTTTCCCATAATCATTTACTGAGCTGCTAATAATACCAGGGCTGACAGGTTAGTGCTCTGTACTTTGCCATCTGCACACTATCCCCAGGCTCCTCTCCAGGTGACAGGCCTGGAGGCTGCACAGCTGGGCCTTGACCTTGTAGGAGGGACCTGGGGAAGGAAGGCAGTGGCACAGGGATCGGGGCTGTATGCAGAGACCTCAGGAAAGGGCTGGTGGACACCCCCAACATGGCATTGTCCTCTAAGCCATGTGCCTCCAGATGGGTGTGTGTGGAGAAAAAGCCTTTCCCTGGGGCTGGACACAGTGGTGAGTAAGTTGAGGGCTTTGATTTGCTGCTATCGCAGTGTAAATTCATAGAGATTTTTTTCATTTCCTCAATAGAAACTCTGAACCCACTGGGTGTGGTGGTGCATGCCAATAATCCCAGCACTCAGGAGGTGAAGGCAGGAGGATCATGAGTTTGAGACCAGCCTGAGCTACACAAAGAGACCCTGTCTCAAAAAAAAAGTTTAAACAAAGAAAGACTCTGTCCCTATTAAACACTAACGTCCCACTCCCAGTTCCTCCAGGCCCAGGCGGCCACCCTTCTATTTTCTGTCTCTATGAATTTGACTACTTTGGAGAGTTCAATAAGTGAAATAATACAGTTTTCCCTTTTGTGCCTGGCTTATTTCACTCAGCCTAATGTCCTCAAGGGTCACCCATGTCAGTGTGTGTCAGAATTGCCTTCCTTTTTAAGGCTGAATAGTATTCTATTGTATGGATAGACCGTATTTCACTTATCCATTTGTCTTAGTTTCCTGATGCTATAATACATGAGATAAATTAACTTATAAGGAAGAAAGGCTTATTTTGTCTCATGACTTCAGAGGTCTCAGTCCATGGTCACTTAGCCCTGTTGCTTTGGGACTGGTGACACAGTACATCAGGGCAAAAACATATGGCAAAAGAAGCCTGCTCTTGGTGACCAGGGAGCAAAGAGAAGCAGGAAGGGGCCAGGGTGTCACTATTCCTTTCAAGGCCATGCCCCCAGTGACCCAAAAGCCTCCCTCCTAAAGGTTCCACCTCTTCCCAGTAGTACCACCTTGAGGATGAAACCTTTAACACTTGGGCCTTCAGGGGCCCAGCCTCCCCAGAGGCCCATTTTATATCCACCCTGCCGTAGACTCACTGTTTTAAACAGTTCAAATAAATTTTGAAGGTGATAGTGTGAGCTGGATTTGCAAGGTGACCACACAGAGAGACACAGTGGTAATTATTTCCTTTCCTCCCCACTCAGCTTTCCCTGTTCTGCTCTGAGATCTCACTGAACCAATCCCAAGGTATGAGGCACCCTACCGTGTGCACCATCACCACCACTCAAACAGCTGACAGAGCATTTCCCAGGCTGAGGCTCCCAGGTGAGCGCTCAGTGCTTCTGGGAGCCTCTGGGTCAAGAAGTGACATCAATTTGACCGACTGTTGGTCATCCCAACTGGGCATGACCAGGGCATCCTGGGTCATGCTCACTGCAGATATGGCCTTGGTAGGTTTTGTATACAAAGCCATGAAGGTAAACAAAGGAGAAGCCAAGCAGAGACCAGTAGCAGCTATGGCCTACAGACACTCTGTCGTTATCATTCAAATATAGAAGTAATACCTGTTTTAATGTTCCTGTCTTCTTTTTCCAGCATCACTGTCAGTTATGGTCAGTTCTTGCTTCTAGCCCTGGCTGGCCTGGAACCTCGACCCTCCTACCTGTGCCTCTATGTAAGTGAGGTTACGGATGTGCCTGCCCAGGCCCAGCTTTTTGTTGAGATGGGGTCTTGCTAACTTTTTGCCCAGGCTGGCCTTGAATCTCAATTCTCCTGATTTCTTCCTCCTGAGTAGCTGGGATTACAGGCGTGAGTCACCTTGTCTAGCCTGGCCAGTGCTGGATTTTTCTGTATCTTTAAGTACTTTTGTGTTTTCTTCAGGAATGTAGTTAAGTTGTGGACAGTTTGGCCTTCCTGTTAAGATTTGTTAGGTGGAATGATGGATCCAATGTCCCTGGAACCTGGGTTTCTCAGCTTGCATGGTGGGAACAGACACAACCTTGTCCTATGTGAGCATCGAGGATGCTCGCTTTGGTCCTCTCAAGTGGTCCTTTCTCCAGCCTCATTTTCTTTTCTCACATCAGTGAGCTCTCTGGACTCTTTCTCTGTGCAGCTCTCTCCTCTCCAGGGCTCTGTCCTTGGTCTCCCAGACGTCTAGCTCTGTCTTTTCAAATTGGTGATCCCCAGATCTTGCCTTTCCTGATTCTTGGTCCAGGAACGGTGTCTCTACAGTAAACTGGGCAGACAGGAAGGCTCACCCCATTGTTCCCATTCCTCAAGCATCATGAGGCTTTGCTGTCTAGCACACAGTGTCTTGCAAACTGTTGTTTACTGGTGTACAGTGTCTTCAGGTAAGAATAAATCTGGTCTCTGTCCCTCCATCCTGACCCAAAGTATAATTTCTGCAAGGAGGGTGCCAGATGGCTGTCTCCTGAACAACCATGGCTGAGAGCAGCTCAAATTCCCCCATGTGTCTTCACTGTGTGTCGTGTCTGACTTCTGGAAATTTGAGTTTATCTCTCAAACTATGAGAAGAATGCAGCAAAACATGTATTTTCTGTTTAGAAATCTTAATATTTCTGCCATTAAGCTTGTTAAGAATGTGGCAATAGCCAATGATTAATGTCTATCTGAAGTGACTTTTGGAGTCACTTAAAGACAGGTCCATTTAAAGGTAGTTCTGCCTCAGGAAGGTAAGTGCTCAGGAGCCTGTGTGGGTCAGAGGATCTCTGCCCAGGGGACACCACTGGACTGACCCTGCACCAGGTCTATGCTGTGCTCTGCTGAGAGGTGGGGCAGCTGGGTGCACCTGGGGGACAGACAGCTCTGGGGGGGGGCGAGGGGGGTTGTGTATGTGTGTGTGTGTATGTGTGAGAGAGAGAGAGAGAGAGAGAAAGAGAGAGAGAAGGGAGTCTACCGTGTGTGTGTGTGTGTGTGTGTGTGTGTGTGTGTGTGTGAAAGAGAGGGAAGGAGGGAGAGAGAGAGAAAGGGAGTCTACTGTGTGTGTTTGTGTGTGTGAGTGAGAAAGAGAGAAAGAGAGAGAAGGGAGTACTTGTGTGTGTGTGTGTGTGTGTGTGTGTGTGTATGATTCAGGTGATGGTGTCCACGGTGTCCTGGGTGCTGCCTGGACATTGGAGATGACCCTTTCTTCATGGCTGTGGGGGCTATCTGCTGGTGCTACCTAGCCTTTTTGGGCCAGGTGTGCCACCCTGGAAGTTGAGGATAGGCTGTGTTGTGTCCTGCATGTGCCCTATAGGGGCCTGTGCCCTGGCTGGGGTTTGCTACCCTGAGTGGAGGCCTGAGCTACCCTCCTCTAACCCCTTCCATTAGAACCAGGGCCTTGGTTGAGGGTGGGGGAGAGGGAGGGGGAGGAGTGGGTGGTAAGGGAGGGGGTGGGGGCAGGGGGGAGAAATGAACCAAGCCTTGTATGCACATATAAATAATAAAAGAAAAATGAAAAAAAAAAAAAAAAGAACCAGGGCCTTGGGCTGCTCCAAACACCATTCTCCTCTACTTTTTTTTTTTCTGTCTCAGTGTCTTCCTAAATGGCACCACTATAAATTAGCCAGACAAGAGATTGCCAAGGAATCCCTTTAATCTTTGCCGATAATCCCAGAGCCCAGCAGGAAGTGACTGTCTACTGTTAGCACCCTTGCAGGAGAGAGTGACGACATCAGGTAAGTCACTGACACCTGTATCTTCCACTATATTTTGGGGTCAAAAAGATGATTTCGAGGTGGGGAGGGCAGCAGGAGGAGAGAAGTGGCCCAAACAATGTATACACATGTAAGTAAATGTAAAAATGATAAAATAAGAAGATAAAAGATGATTTCAGGAACTGTCAATCTCCCTCTGGTTGGGAGAGTTGCTGGTGAATCCCTTGTGCCCTAAGTGGCAGAGAGAGGCTGGCATGCAAGTGTGCGGTGGCTCCAGTGCGGGGACACTGGCCTTACTTTCTGGGAGTATCACAGGTGCAAGAAGCACCACAGATCCAAAAGTGTGTTATAAATGGAAGCCAGCTCTTGCTGGCTATTGCCATCATTTTGTGCATATATTTTGAATTTATTGAGCAGAAAATATCCTCACAGTAGGAACTTCATACCATTACCATGGAATTACTTTCTATATAGAAAAAAACTTACTTTTAAATTAAAACCTTCTCCATTTGCCATTCTCTCAAGCCTGTCTGGACAGGCCCCAGCCGAAGCCCATCAGGGTGTTGATATTTTGAAGCTGGCCCCAGCCAACCTCTGAGAGGCCAACTTTCTCTGGGGGCCATATTGAACTGGGTCCATTCCCCCCTCTCTCCGCCCACAGGAAGTCTCTGACCAGCCTCCCACAGAGCCCAGTGAGTTCAACTTTGAGGATGGAATTGGGTGAGGGGTCCTCTGTCCCCACAGAAGCCATCACCCCTGTAGGGGTGCCCAGTGCTGGGCCTGGCAGCTCCTCCATGGGGAAACTTCGAGCACTCCCCATCGGGCCTGATGTCCACCGAGGGGGTCCTAGTATCTGCGCTGCAGCAGGCGACAGCCCTCTGGGGGAGCCCAGCAGTGGCATGAAGCTCCCCAACAGAGACAGCGGGATTGACAGCCCATCCTCCAGTGTGGCCGGTGAGAACTTCCCCTGTGAGGAAGGCAGTGGGGTCTCCCCAGGCCCTGCCATGCTGGGACCACACCCCAAAACAGCAGTAGACAGCCAGGCCTCACAGGACACTCCCCAGGAGGAGGCCGACAGTGACATGGGTGAGGAGACCGTTCCTGAGAATACCTCCTCAAGGACTGACGAGGACATCAGCCCAACCCAGGTAGGCCTCTCCTTCCACCATTCCACCCTCGGCAGCCACAGCTCTCCTGGGAGGGGTTTGTGGTGGGTGACACAGGAATGGAGCACTTGCTCCACACAAGGGGAGACTCCTGGGATAGGGTCCACTGAACAATGACTTTAATCCTGACTCTCAGTTTCCCTGTGTGAATAACAGGCACATCCCCCATCCCAGGAAGGGATGATGGTCACTCAGTCTTATTGGTAGTGTTGACTACAGCTACCCTTCTTGGAGTGCTTGCTGTGAGCCTTGTAGAACCCCTGTGATGAAAGCAGCATGAGTGTCACCCATTTTCTAAATGGGTGACACTGAGGCCTAGAGAGCATGGTGTATCCCCAGGATATCCATAGGGCAGGGCCCAGGTCAGGTGCTCTGTGCTCCTAAAGACATGGGCAAGCTGCCAGGTGACCAGGTCTCAGAGGTAGTTTCCTGGGTAGGGTCTGTGGTAATCTCAGGGGATAGCCAGTGGCTGGATTGCTGTAAGTCAGCTTTGCAGAGGGAAGGTTAGGCTCTGCTTTAATATAAATGCTATTATTCAGGCCTAGCCAGTTAACAGATTAGGATATGACTGCTATTGAAAGCATAGTTTGATGCTCACAGTTCCCAACAGGAAGCACCAGGGCCAGTCAGAAGGCAAGAGGAAGGAGAGGGAGCTGTAGGTGGGAGCCTTGTTGTGAACCTTGCTGCGGTTTGCCCAGGGAAGAACAGGTGAGGCAGGGCAAGCAGGCTCAGGATTGCTAGGTTGAGTAATTTCCACAGGTTCTGGGATAGAGGGCATTTCCTGGCCCTGGGGTGATGAAGACAGGTGGATGGTGGCTGAGAGTGTAAGAACCTCAAAGAGGAGATAGAGGTGTGTGTAAGGTTGGGGTTGGTTGCTTTGCATTTGAAAGGTGTGGTCAAGGCACATCCTTTATTACTTCTAGGAATTGGCCAAATTAGACTTAAACATTTAATATCTTGAGTGTCTGTGGTAGGTCTATATGGGGCGAAGCATTGAAGGTATTAGGGACACCGCTAGTTCCTGTATCCATTCAAGGTTATGCATGGGGGAGCCTGGGAGCAAGATCTCTTTTACAAATAGAGAAATCAAGGCACAGAGCAGCTGAATTATGTGGCTGGTGTTAAGACATCCCATGCCTAACCCTTTCCTTTCTCCCCGGTCCTTTGTGGAGGTCTGTAGGACTTGGTAGGAACACTGCTGGTTTGGAGCGCCTGGAGAGGGATGTTGCTCCATCTGGTGACAAGCAACCATTTTCATGACAGGGCCTTCTTGCACCTTCTCTGCAGACAGTGTTATACCCCATGTGCAACAGTAGGACCTATAGGAACAGCAAGAATGACAAGGCAGCTCAGGAGTCACATGCGGCCAAATCAGAAAGAAACTGCACTCCAGGAGTCAGTGAGGCTTTGCTGATTTGGTTCATTGCTCCTGACAATATTTTTGTTTTTTGGGTTTTTTTGGTTTTTGGGGGGGGGCTCTTGTGGGTTTTCTATATTTATGAGATCATGTCTTCTGTGTATTGAGTTAATTTTACTTCTTCCTTTCCAATTTGGATGCTTTGTTTTTTCTTTTTCTTATCTAATTGCTCTGTCTAGAACTTCCAGTACTACATGGATTACAGTTGGCAAAAGTAGGCATCTTTGTCTTACTCCTGATCTTGGAGGAAAAGCTTTTAGTCTTCTATCATTGAATTTGCTGTGGGATTTCCATATATGGCCTTTATTATGTTAAGGTTTTTCCCTTCTATTCCCAGTTTGTTGAGTGTTTTTTATTTTATCTTATTTTATGTTTTTAAATCTCAAAATGGTGTTCAGTCTTGTTAAATGCTTCTTCTGCATCCATTGAGATGATTCTCACGGCCAGTGAGCAGGTCTCTTGACCTGACTGAGAGCGACTGGGGATTGAGAAAAAAGACATAAAGACAGACATAGAGAAAAGCTTGGGACCGGGTGGGTCCAGCACTCCTGATGAGAGATGCCGGCGACCCCCTCTGCATACAAATGCATTTATTTATACAGCAAGTGTGGGAAAGCGGGGTGAAGGGCAGGTCGACTTCTTATGGGTCCAGTCGTGCAGACGGCAGGAACAGAGCAGCTGTGGTGTGTTGTTATTTAGTACAGACTATCCTGACTTTGTCAACATGCCATTTTCCCTGACAGGCAGCCTTGCTGAACCTTGCCTCCCCTGGCTGGGTCCCTGCCTACCAGCCAAGAGGCCCTTGACAGAGCTGCGCTCATGCCAAGTTCTACTTCCACTGCCTCAGTCTCCCTATTTGCAAGGCAGCCTTGCTGAACCTTGCTCACCTCCTTTGGCTGGGGCCTTGCCTTCTCAGCACAAAGGACCTTGACATGGCCTCACTCATGTCAAAGTTTCTTCTCAGTCTATTTAGTTACTGGTCTCCCACAGATGGTCATAGAGTGTTCTTTCTGTAATGTGGTGTATTACATCAATTGATTTTCTGTATGTTAAGCCTTAATTATATTCCAGGAATACATTAAACTTGGTCATGGTATATTTCCTTTTCATTTGCTGTTAATTTGGTTTCTTAGCATTTTGTTGAGAAATTGGGCATCAATATTCATCTAGGATATTGGCATATGGTTTTCTTTTTCTTGTAGTGTCTTTGTATGGTGTTGGCATCAGAAAGAGCTTGAAAGTCTTCCCCTTCTCTTCAATTTGGAAGTCTTCCCCTTCTCTTCAATTTTTTGGGAAGAGTTTCAGGAAGATTGTCGTAACTTCTTTTTTAAGTGTTTGGTAGAATTTACCAGTGAAGCCATTTGACTCTGGACTTGACTTTATTGGGAAGTTTTTTATTACTAATCCAGTGTCCTTACTCATTATTGATCTTCTTAGAGTTTCTGTTTCTTCATGATTTTGTCTTTATAGGCTGCATGTTTTTAAGCATTTTTTTTCTGGGTTATACAATTTTTTGGCATGTAATTGTTTATAGTATGCTCTTACAACCTTCTTATTTCTGTGGCATGAATTGTAATGTCCCCACTTTCATTTCTGATTTCAGTTATTTGAGTCTCCTTTCTTTTCTCCAAGTTAATATAGCTAAAATTTGTCAATTTTTTAATCTTTTTTTTTTTTTTGGAAAAAAACAACAACTCTGAGTTTGGTTAGTTTTTTTTCTTTTGTTTTTCCATTCTGTATTTCATTTATCTCTGTTCTGATCTTTCTACTTCCTTCCTTCTTCTAGCCTGGGCTTAGCTTACTCTTCTATTTCTAGCTTCCCGGTGTGTAAAGTGAGGTGGGTTGATTCAAGATATTTTCTTTTTTTCTGAAACCAGAGCCTTGTGCATGCTAGGCAAGCGCTCTACCACTGAGCTATGCTCCGAGACCTTTTTTTTTTTTTATTTTTCTTTTATCATTCATATGTGCATACAAGACTTCGTTCATTTCTCCCCCCTGTCCCCACCCCTCCCTTACCACCCACTCCACCCCCTCCCTCTCCCCACCCCCCCAATACCCAGCAGAAACTATTTTGCCCTTATCTCTAATTTTGTTGTAGAGAGAGTATCAGCAATAATAGGAAGGGACAAGGGTTTTTGCTGGTTGAGATAAGGATAGCTATACAGGGCTTTGACTCACATTGATTTCCTGTGCGTGGGTGTTACCTTCTAGGTTAATTCTTTTTGATCTAACCTTTTCTCGAGTACCTGTTCCCCTTTTCCTATTGGCCTCAGTTGCTTTAAGGTATCTGCTTTAGTTTCTCTGCGTTAAGGGCAACAAATGCTAGCTAGTTTTTTAGGTGTCTTACCTATCCTCACCCCTCCCTTGTGTGCTCTCGCTTTATCATGTGCTCAAGTCCAATCCCCTTGTTGTGTTTGCCCTTGATCTAATGTCCACATATGAGGGAGAACATACGATTTTTGGTCTTTTGGGCCAGGCTAACCTCACTCAGAATGATGTTCTCCAATTCCATCCATTTACCAGCGAATGATAACATTTCGTTCTTCTTCATGGCTGCATAAAATTCCATTGTGTATAGATACCACATTTTCTTAATCCATTCGTCAGTGCTGGGGCATCTTGGCTGTTTCCATAACTTGGCTATTGTGAATAGTGCCTCAATAAACATGGGTGTGCAGGTGCCTCTGGAGTAACAGTTTTTGGGTATATCCCCAAGAGTGGTATTGCTGGATCAAATGGTAGATCGATGTCAGCTTTTTAAGTAGCCTCCAAATTTTTTTCCAGAGTGGTTGTACTAGTCTACATTCCCACCAACAGTGTAAGAGGGTTCCTTTTTCCCCGCATCCTCGCCAACACCTGTTGGTGGTGGTGTTGCTGATGATGGCTATTCTAACAGGGGTGAGGTGGAATCTTAGCGTGGTTTTAATTTGCATTTCCTTTATTGCTAGAGATGGTGAGCATTTTTTCATGTGTTTTCTGGCCATTTGAATTTCTTCTTTTGAGAAAGTTCTGTTTAGTTCACTTGCCCATTTCTTTATTGGTTCATTGGTTTTGGGAGAATTTAGTTTTTAAGTTCCCTATATATTCTGGTTATCAGTCCTTTGTCTGATGTATAGTTGGCAAATATTTTCTCCCACTCTGTGGGTGTTCTCTTCAGTTTAGAGACCATTTCTTTTGATGAACAGAAGCTTTTTAGTTTTATGAGGTCCCATTTATCTATGCTATCTCTTAGTTGCTGTGCTGCTGGGGTTTCATTGAGAAAGTTCTTACCTATACCTACTAACTCCAGAGTATTTCCAACTCTTTCTGTATCAACTTAAGAGTTTGGGTCTGATATTAAGATCCTTGATCCATTTTGAGTTAATCTTGGTATAGGGTGATATACATGGATCTAGTTTCAGTTTTTTGCAGACTGCTAACCAGTTTTCCCAGCAGTTTTTGTTGAAGAGGTTGCTATTTCTCCATCGTATATTTTAGCTCCTTTGTCAAAGATAAGTTGCTTATAGTTGTGTGGCTTCATATCTGGATCCTCTATTCTGTTCCACTGGTCTTCATGTCTGTTTTT